TTGTTAAGAGTGGATACAAGATAGGTGTTTTTCCTCTTCCCGTTTCTGCTTCTCAGTGAAGAGAGGTGATGATGGATGTTTGGAGCTCCTCTGCAGCAGCCTTTTGATGACCTTGAAAGGACAAGCATGGGAATGAAAGCATCACACTGAGGATTGCAGGATGCAGATAGAAAATATCTGAACTGTGCTTCCAAATTAACCACCTCTGCAACTGCTTTCTTTATCTTTGGACTTTTTCTTATTTGAGATATTAAATTACTTATGTTGTACAGGCAGCTTTTGGTTGTATGTTTTGTTACTTGTAGCCAAAAAGAAATTTCTTAGTAGAAACAAGGGGAGAGTTAGGTTTTTGAAAAAAATTAATAATGGGATGATTGAACATCCTTTTTTTCTGGGAAGGGGAAAGTGGGGAACAGACTTACAGGTTTATGTGTAAAACAATGAAACCATAAATTACTAAAGAAAATATGAAAATGCTTCCATGACTTTGTGATGGAGAAGGCTTTACCAACACACAAAAGTAGAGAATTATAAAGGAAAAGTAGAAAATCTTAAAGGAAAATAGTGAAAAAAAAATAAAATTTCTTCAACAAATGGTGGTGGGAAGACTGGCTATCCACATGCAGAAGAATGAAATAAGATTATTGTCTTAATGCCATACAAAGATGTCAACTTAAAATGGATTAAAGATTTAAACATAAAATTTGAAACCATAAAATTCCTAGCAAAAAACATACAGGAAAATCTTCATAACAGTCTTGGTGGTGATCTCTTGGAAACACAGGCAACCAAAGCAAAAATAGCTGAGTGGGTACTACATCAGACGAAAAGGCTGCACACAAAGAAGACAGAGTGAAAAGGCAACTTGTGGAGTGGAAAGAAATATTTCAAACCATGTGCAGTTGAGTTGGCCCTTGATGTATAAGGATTCCTCAATAATTCAACCATGTGTGGATCAAAAATGTTTGGGGAGAAAACCCCAAATTACAATACAATAAAAAGCCATTTAAAAAACTATAGCATATGGGCTAGACATAGTGGCCTACTCCTGTAATCCTAGCACTCTGGGAGGCTGAGGCAGGTGGCTTGCTTGAGCTCAGGAGTTCAAGACCAGCTTCAGCAAGGGCAAAATCCTGGCTATACTAAAAAAATAGAAAAATTAGCCGGGTGTGGTGGCAGGCACCTATAGTCCCAGCTTAGTGAGGCTGAGGCAAGAGGATCACTTGAGCCCCAGAGTCTGAGGTTGCTGTGAGCTATAATGATGCTGCGGCACTCTATTGAGGGTGACAAGGTGAGAGTCTATGTCTCCAAAACAAAACGAAACCTATAGCCAAGCACTTAAAATGTATTGGGTATAAATAATATAGAGATGATTAAAGTATATGGGAAGGTTGTACATAGGTTATATGCAAATTACTTACTATGCCATTTTATATCTGGAATTGGGCATTCTCAGATTTTGATATTGGGGCTTCTGGAATCAGTACCCCATGGATTGTTGAGGGATTGTTGTATCTTATAAGGGGTTAATCTCTAAAGTTTAACGCCTACAAATCAATAGCAAAAAACATAACCTGATTAAAAAATAGGCAAGTAACTTGAGTAAACATTCCTCCAAAGAAAGCATACAGGTGAACAACAGGTATATGGCAAGATGCGCAGTGTTACTAATAGGGATGTAAGTCAAAACTCCAGCGACATAATAACCCTGACTTAAGCATTATACAAGGTATTATGTAACAAAACATTTGTACCTCCTTAATTTTTTCGTTTTTTTTGAGACAGCCTCAAGCTGTCACCCTGGGTAGAGTGCTGTGGCATCACAGCTCATAGCAGCCTCCAACTCCTGGGCTTACACGATTCTCTTGCCCACCACAATGCCTGGCTATTTTTTGGTTGCAGCCATCGTTGTTTGACTGGCCTGGGCTGGATTTGAACCCACTAGCTCAGGTGTATGAGCTGTGGTTCAAGCCTTAGCCGCCGCTTGAACCACAGGTTCCGAGCCCCTCTTAATGTTTTGAAATAAAACATTGAAAAAAAATAATGGCTGGCACAGTGGCTCACGCCTGTAATCCTAGCATTCTGAGATGCTTTGGAATGAGCGCCAGCTTTTTCTTTGGAGTCTCAGCCAGCTCCATCTGCAGATGGTTTGGGGCAGCCCTCTGTGGGAATTCCCTTGCCACCTCTTTTAGGGTGACTAGACTACAGCCTTGAGTTTGGCCAGGATGAAATGGTATTTATCTGGAAGAATTGAGATTGAGATCTTGATATTTTCAGTTTTATGTTCATTGCATAAACAATATTGCTTCACAATAGCCAAGAGGTGGAAACAACCTAGACACCTAGAGATGAATGGAAAAAGTAAATGTGGATGAACCTTGATGACATTATGCTAAGTGAAATAAGCCAATCACAGAAGGACAAATACCTGCATGATTTCACTTAGGTGTCTAGTCAGACTCATGGAAGTAGAGAGCAGAATGGTGGTGGCTAGTGGTTGGGGGAGGTTGGAAAAGGGAGTTTTCAGTAGATAGAGGTTTTAGTTATGCAAGCTGAAAAAGTTCTAGGGATCTGCTGTACAACAGTTTGCATATATACTTTATAATACTGTACTGTAGGGGCTGGGCCTGGTGGCTCACTCTGGGAGGCCCAAGCTGGTGGATTGTCTGAGCTCCTGGGTTCAGGACCAACCTGACAAGAGCGAGACCTTGTCTCTAAAAATAGCTGGGCGTGTGGTAGGCACCTGTAGTTTCAGCTACTTGGGAGGCTGAGGCAAGAGAATTGCTTAAGCCCAAGAGTTAGAGGTTGCTGTGAGCTGTGACACAACAGTACTCTACATAGGGCTACATAGTGAGACTCTGCCTCCAAAAAAAAGGGAATAAAATTAGCCGGGCATGGTGGCACACACTTGTAGTCCTAACTACTTGGGAGTCTAATGCAAGAGGACTGTTTGAGCTCAGGAGTTTGAGGTTTGCAGTGAACTGTAATGTGCCACTGTACTTTACCCAGGAAACAAAGCAAGTCCTTGTCTTTAAAACAAAAAAAGTATGCAATTTATAAGCATTTTCACCACAGACAGTCCCTGAGTTAGAAACATCTGACTTACCCATGACTGCATTAATGTACACAGCTATGATTTAATAAAAAAAAAAAGAAACATTGGACTTACCTACAACTTGCACTTAGGAATAGAAGCTATTATAGGTAATAGGTAGATGTACCTGTTCCAACTTGCATACAAATTTAACTTAAGAACAGACCTGCAGAAGCTATCTTGTTCACAACCTGGGACTGCCTATATTTGATTAAGTGTTCATTGATGTTACTTCATTAAAGCATGATGCTGGCATACAAGGAAATTCTGTGTAGCTGTTAAAAGGATGAACTAGGTTCGGACCCGTAGCTCAGTAAGTAGGGCACCGGCCACATGCACCGAGGCTGGTGGGTTCAAGCCTGGCCCAGGCCTACTAAACAATGACAACTGCAACAAAAAGTAGCTGGGTGTTGTGGCAGATGCCCATAGTCCCAGCTACTTAGGAGGCTGAGGCAAGAGAATTGCTTAAGCCCAAGTTTGAGGTTGCTGTGAGCCATGATGGCACAGCACTCAACCGAGGCTAACATAATGAGACTCTGTCTCAAAAAAAAAAAGGTGAAATAGATTTCTAAGTATTTACAAGGAAAGATGTTAATTGGCAGAAAAGTGTGTTACGGGACCTTGCACGTGCAATATGTAAGTATACATTATGAATAAAAATATACCTATGCAAATGTATCAAAGATTGGAAAGTTACAAGTAAATTGTACAGGAGTTCTCAGAAATGTTTTGAATTTAGCTTTTATATTTGGGTTTTTAAAAATATTCACCCCCCCCCAAATAAAGATATTTCTATGTAGGGTGAGAAAATATGATAAAACAGATTTTTAAACTGTGTAACTGTTTTTTGAATCCTAGGGTTCCACTGACCTAGGCAGGGAACGGAGTGGGGGCAAAGTATAGCCCTCAAGTTAAAGTCAGCATGGGCCTGTGGTAGAGTCCTTTATTTGTCTCTACACTCCTGAAAAATACCCTTATGTTGAATCATAATAAAAAACAGTTCTACAGGCTTGGTGCCTGTAGCTAAGTGGCTCCTGGAGCTGGTGGGTTCGAATTCAGCCCAAGTCTGCCAAACAACGACAACTACAACTGAAAAATAGTCAGGTGTTGTGGTAGGTACCTGTAGTCCTAGCTACTTGGTAAAATGTCCCAGCACTTGGGAGACTGAGGCAAGAGAATTGCCTTAAGCCCAAGAGTTTGAGGTTGCTGTGAGCTGTGATGCCACGTACTCTACCGAGGGGTACAGTGAGATGCTGTCTCAAAAATAGAGTTCTTAGTTACCTTCAGCTTGCTAGTAAATAGAGGTATAACTGTATGAAAATAATTTTTATACTTTTTGTTTATTGTGCATTGAAAATTGGCCTTTTTAATGTTATTTCATCCTTATAAATTTTATTCTGTGAATAACATACATAAGTATATATTCAGCTGTTATGGAAAAAATAATTGACATTTTATTTTTTTTTTTTTGAAGACAGAATCTCACTTTGCATCCTTTGGTAGAGAGCCATGGTGTCACAGCTCACAGTAACCTCACATCCTTGGGCTTAAGTGATTCTCTTGCCTCAGCCTCCCAAGTAGCTGGGACTACAACACCCAGCTATTTTTTTTTGAGATGGGTCTTGCTCTTGCTCAGGCTGATCTCAAACTCATGAGCCAGGCAATCCACCTGCCTCAGCCTCCCAAGTGCTGGGACATTTTACCTTTATTAAATCAATCCCCAAGACACTTGTATCCCCACTTCTCCACTCCTACCCACCCTCCACTCCAAGCATCATGTTAGTAAAAAATGAGACTGTAACATAGTTGGCTGTGGTACAGGTTGGTAATCTAAACCTTTTATAGTAACACAGCTGCTGCCTACACACTATCTATTCTCTCCTTTTTAATAAAACCCCACTTTGTTAAGAGTGGCAATGTGCCCAGCTGTATTTTCCACCTTTATGATTAGGGCCAGTCATGTGTCTAACTGGAAGTGGACATGAGCTGAGGGTTTCTTATACAGCTTTGCCCCTCTGATATAAGCAATGAGATGGAGTGGTGCCTATATTTCTTCCTGGCATGTGGATGTGAGGAAAGAAATAAAGCAATCATATTATAATAAAAAAGATAAAGACTGCATACTAGAAATGATGAAAGAGAAATCTGGATGGAACGTAGGGCATTTAAGACATTGTGGAGCTGCTGCACCATCCTGAACTTCGCACACTACCATTATTATATGAGAAACAAAAATAATTTTAGAAACCTCAGTTTAGCCAAGTTTTCAAATGTGCTATTAACTGATAGACCCATATGACTTGCAACCCTACTTTTGGAAATTTCTAATTAAACGAGAAATGTTTATAAAAGGCAAAAGTTATGTACAAGAAGATATCTCTGTTGCATTTTCTGTATTAGATTAGCACTGAAAACAAAATTAGTTATCCAACAATGAAGGAACATTTAAGTACTTATGGTACCTGGATTATTACGCTGCCTTTTTTTTTTTGCAATTTTTGGCCAGGGCCAGGTTTGAACCTGCCACCTCCAGTATATGGGCCCACCACCCTACTTCTTTGAGCCACAGGCACCACCCTTAGGCTGCCATTTAAAAATGAGCTTTTAAAGACATAACAAAAAATTCAAATATAAAATTCCATCTGCTCCAATTTTAACCAGTTGGTGGCCTGATCCATGGTGACTCCCAGTCCCTTTTACCTTTTCCACCCCCCATCACAGACTGAAAAGGTTACAGCTTCGTATCCCCATCTTTCTGGGAGCCCGTGGTTATTACACTTGTCGCCAGCAGCTGAACATTAACCTGAAGTGAATTTCTAGGAAAGGTTTTGCTTTTATGAGAACAGGATCAGATGTGGAGGTCCCTGCCTCCTTCTCCATTTTTTGTGTCTTGAAGGAACACAGACACATTGGCTTGAACTGTGATAGCCGTCTTGGTGCCATTAGGGAAAGGCTAAAGGAATCTCTCAGAGACGTTGGTGTCACTGAGTCACTGAACCAACGTCAGTGGCCAGCTCTCTATACTTCTTGTTATGTGAGAAATACCCCGATTTTAATAACCACTATTAGTTGGATCTTATTAAAGAAGAAAACATCCCTATCTGATACAGAAATAAATTGTAAGTGACAAAAATAAAAGATTTAACAGAAAAACAGTTGACCTATTAAAATATTATTGAAAATGACTTGTTAGAAAAAGTTCTGCTTGTGCAGTAAAGCACTGAAAAACAAGTATTGAGCATCAAGGGAAAACCTCTGATTAATTTTATTGCTGACAATGAACACACTAACCTATATTCATTTAATTCTAATAGTAAGGACATCCATCATCTTTGGTTCAAAAGTCAAATAATTTTAGTAAGCAAAACACATTTTCAATAAAA